AACGCTTTTCCTTAAGGCCGTCAACATCGGCCGTCTTCATTGGGGATTATATGGCCAGTCAGCCTAGTGGGATTTGATATGTTGACCTTTAATACTTAAACACATTCTGCCACCTGTCTAGATTTGATTACATTACATTTTATTTAACCGACCCTTTCATCCAAAGCAACTGTAATACTGTTGATATGCCTATATGAGCAATTTAGGGCTAAGAATCCGGCCCAAGGACCCTTTGGCATAATGACCACAGATGTCGGGGTTTGAACCCTTGACAGAAGATAAAGTCATCTTCAAAGAACCCATGGTTTAAATATTAAACTGACAAGAGGCGTTGGATTTGTATTAACAAGCTATCACTTGTGGAGAGAACACTGACCTACACATCTCTTCTCTTTTAGAGACTTGATAACATGATACTGAGAGAAATCATCATGGTTGAGTAGGCCTATGTGGGTTATAGTAAATAAGAAGTTGTATAAAGTCACAAAATAAAGCCAATACATTGCACGAAAGCTATTAATATGAAGTAAATGGATCTCCGACTGCATAGGAATACTGTATATCACAAGGGGTGAAAATGGCAAAAATGAAAATTTAGGCAATTTAGCTATATTGCTCAAGATGTCTTAATTTTATCTTATCATAGATTTCTCGTCTCTATTTTAAGCACGCTCCCTGAAAATATTTTTTTACGTTTCATAATCCTCGACTTTGCCAGATATTTGTAAATGAGTGACTTTCCTCGGCTGTGGGTGGACCTCCAAATATGGATCATCACAAGGCTCTGACTGACTTAGAACAATAATTTATTAAATTAAAGAGGCATTAGTTAACTGAATAAACCTTATATCTTTCTAATCCTCTTATAATTTAATAAGTTAAATAGTTATTTATTTTTGTTAATATTAATTTAGCTAACATATAGTTAGTTTCAGAAAACAATAAGGTGTCTTTCTAAGACTAGTGCAGAATAATATGGATGGTATTTGATTACTTTAAACCTGCATACTTTCTCTGTGTAGCAATAGAACCCTTGTTCCTTCTTTCTCTCTATCTGTGCATTCATTGTATGTGTGTGTGACTGTGCATTTGTTACCATGTGTGTTTTTGGGTTGGTCTCTAAGGGCAGCACATTTGTACCCCTCTTAACATCTTCACACATTGCACAGCTGTGGGAGCAGGAGCAAGAGGGGGGAATCCAAAGAAGGATCTTAAGTGGAATAGGTTGTTCCCATCACTTTTAGATGTGTAATGGAAATGGGGGTTAAGAGGTCTCTTGCACTAACTCTGCCGCTACATACAATGATGTTTATCTTAGTTGACTTACAAATTGTATTATGACCTCAATACAGCAATACACAGTAAGTTTTCACAGAACTTTGAAGGGCAACAATGTTCTTATGGTTGCCTCAAATACGAGTTACCTCAAATGAAATTTCAAAACATGTTTCCTAAAAGGGAAATTGAGAAGTATCCCAGAAATTCTAACTGGGTTGAACATTTAACATTGGTGCAATATGAAGATGTGACACTTATTATTAAACTGTGAATAAACAAGCAAACATCAGGCTTCAGGGCTCGACAGACTCTGTCTAGCATGTCCTCTACGTCAGCATTCATTTTCTTACATTTTCTTGGAAGACAATAAACTAAAGAAGTCTGCTGTTACTAATCTAATCTAAGAAGATAGACCTTCTGTGCTAACATTTAGTGAGAATCAAAAATAAGTTTGAAATAATAGGAAATCATTTTCAACATTTAAAGGACAAATCCTGTACAAATATAAATCAAAGATTCCTTACGTTTTCACTGGAGGCCAACAAAAGCATATATAATGTGAACAAAATAGGTCCAAGCACTGAGCCTTGTGGCTAACTTTGGTTTGCATGGAAGATTAATTCTTGAAATATACAAACTGGGTCATTTGTGACTTTCACAAGAGCTGTCTCTGTGCTATGAAGTGTTCTAAAGCTGGGATGAAAACCCTCAAATAAATCAACTGTTTTGCAACTGCTTTCTCGAGGATTTTTGAGAGGAAAGGATGATTAGAAATAGGTCTAATAGCAGGCCAAAACCTTTGGATCGAGGTTGTGGTTTTATTACAGCTACTTTAAAGGATTGTGGTATAATCCTTGAGCTTCAATATCAGGATACATGTATTTATAATGCTTGAAAGAATGGAAGTACTCATCACATACAGAGCATATGGAACAACTAATTCCTGGACAGTGTCCGTCACTTGCTTATATACAAGAGAGGAAGTTACACAGTCACAAGATGGAGGAATACCGGTTCAAAGCAGTATTCAATGTTTAGTTTAGATTAGCTAAGACCCACGTCAGAAATGATCATGCTTGTCATATGTCATATCTCCGGCTGAATTATCATGTTAATCATTGTCACATAGCTATCATATGCAGTGTACCCTGACACTCTTCTAGGTAATCATATATCCTGTGACGTACACAGCTACAGTTGGGCCTTTGTTATCATGTGCTACTCTGACATTGGTACATTCAGTATTTTCCCAACAGTTAAGTAAGGGAAATACTTATTTTAACAGCTTGGTTGGAATCGGGTCTAAGATACAGGTTGATGTTTTAGAAGAAAGAATCATCAATACAATATTTAATCGTAGGAAAATGTACTATGATAACAATACAACACCCATCAAAATGTCGTCATGAGGAAATGTATGGATTACAACTAACTGCAATTTGAATCAACACTCAAATCAACACTAAACTACTTAAGTATGTAATAATCACGCAACTTTAGACCTTAGTTACAATAAAGTTAATGATATTTCTTGTACATTTCTAATAATAAAAACAAGCAAAACATATTTGTTACTTTTTTGTCTTCAGTCAACTGTCAAACTGGGAATGCTACAATAATTCAAGCCTGAAACAACACACTACATTTAAATAGTCCCATCACTTGTAGGCCTGCAGCTGTTCAAACCACTGATGACTCGATGAATTCTGCGACCAAATTAAATGTGCAATCCTTCCTTTAGTCTACTTTGTTAACCATTGGCCCCAAGCTGGAGAAGTAGAACACTCTTGGATGTTACGGGACCCTCGGGTACAGCTGTCAGTCAGCCATCACCTGCCACCCAGTTCTGTCATGAAACCCCCCCAACACACACCCACTGAGACCAAAACTATTAGCACTTCTAACCTCATGTGGGCTTGCTGGCTTTTTCTTTCTTCTGTCCTTTATTTTACTCCTCCTGTTGATTCTAGTTTTTGAATTCAGCTCACAGTCAACCCCCCTAATGGCAAATATCTGCTCATCACTAGAATTTATATTCACATTTCCTGTCTTATTTACAATGGTGGCTGGTGATTACTTACCTTGGTTGGACTCTAGGTACCAAGGGACTTCTGTTTGTAATCACAGATGGTATTTTTGCATTATGTCAGTGGCACTAGTTTTCAAACTTTGATGCTCAAGGTTCCTATCTAGCATTAGTTCTGGACATGTCTGGGACGTGTTGTTAGTCTTCCACTTGTGACATATACAGTCTCTTTTTCAAATATAATTCAATGATAACTGATAATGTTAGGTTTCTGCCTTTAACATGCATGCATTTTTTAGGTAAACTTCTAACATATTTATCTTAGTTTTTAAATGTACTTACGGAAATTGGGCTAGGAAAAATATTCTGTTTTGGGACAGATTTAGTAAGTTATTATTACATAAAACAGGTTCTAACGTTAGAACTAATGCTGTCAAAATTATCGCGTTAACGGCGGTAATTATTTTTTTTAATTAATTGCATTAAAATATTTAACGCATTTAACGCATGCGCAGAATGGGCCGCCCCATACATCCCACCAGTGGCAGCACCAGGGCTGGGGTAGGCTACAGCCATACCAAGAAACGGCTTAGCCCCACCATGAAAAATGATGTTAAAGTAAGCAAAATAAAATCCGCCAACTCGCGCCGAGAATTGCACAGACAGCAGTTAGTAAGATTGATTTCAGTAGCCACTTGTCTGGAAATACCGAAGACCAGAATCCCACGCCGTGGGAGGGCCAGGGAGGGCCAGGCCCTCCCATTTGACATTCCTGCCCTCCCCAAATAAACACGTTTTTTATTATTTATAACATTTTAAAAAAAAGGTTTTTAATTTTTTTAATTATAAATAAACGGTGAACTTTTATGCTACGATGTATGTGATGTCAGATAGTAACTAAAAAAAAATCGCAGGCTACGTCAAATAAATTCATGTGTCTGTTGTGATTTCTGATTCGTCCACATTTAGACCAATCACAGCGTCACACTCTGCCGCGTATTCTGGATTTGTTTATTGTTTATTGTGCATTCTGTAGACTCCCATTTCTGTTTGAATTACAAAATGGACATCAGAAATTGGCTTAAAAGGTCTAAGGATTTATTGAAACGAAATACCGATGAAAGAACTGCAGCCGATGGTGCTGCTGGCGACCCTGCACCTGCCGTTGCAGCAGCACGCATTAATGTCACAAGCTTGCCCTCGGCAAACCCCGGGGCTGAGTTAGCGAGCCCAAGCCTTGACTCATCAAGGCGGCCGCCACCAACGCTGTCCTCCGAGGCACAGGGAGCTGTGCCTCGGAGGACAGCGTTGGTGGCGGCCGCCTTGATGAGTCAAGGCTTGGGCTCGCTAACTCAGCCCCGGGGTTTGCCGAGGGCAAGCTTGTGACANTAATCTTTCGAGTAAATCACCAGAACGCCGACACCTCCTCATCTCCACCGCTCCCATTTTTTGGTGTTGCCATAACTTAGTCTCTCTGCGTTGGTGCGCGGGGCTAATGCTAATAATGCTAATGCCAGCAAATACAAAGGCGGCTTCACAAAACCTTTCAGAGTTTTACGGGGCGTGGTTTGCAATTCGCCCAGCCAATCAGAAATTGGAACTTTTCTTTCCCCAGGAAAGTACCTGCTCTCTAGCAAGGACTGAAAAGGGGGGAAAGTTCTCTTTTTGGTGTGAACGCAAAATCCCAGGAACTATCGGAACTAAACGGGAAAAGTACTCCGGTGTGAAAGCGCCTTATAGCTTTGTGCTGGTGGTGATGTTTCTCAGTTTACTAATGTCTCCCTGTTGCTTGCTGAGGAATTCTGATTCAGTGTGTATTCCTTCTTTGGTATCTAGGCGTGGTGGCCGATCGAAGGCAGCTGCTGCTAAAGATGACCCGGAGGAGGAGGAAGAAGAAGAAGATGAGGAGGAGGAGCAGCAGGAGGAGCAGGAGGACGAGCCAACACCGAAGGTACTGAACGTGTTGCATAAACCATTTCTACGAATTCTGGGTTTTAGATCAATGTAAGAAGTGTGGAGGACTGTATATGCTTAGTTTCCTGTCAAGTTTTCACCCTGCTATTTTTCTATCTCCTGTAGGGTCGCAAGAAGGCAGCTGTGCGAAGAAGATGAGCTGAAAAAAAAAGATGGAGGACAAACAAAAATGGGGCGTTTACTCGAATGTTGTGGATGAGTGACGAAGGAAAGAAAATATGGACATTGAACTTTTTTAACTTTTCATACGCAGATGCTCCTACTGTTACACAAGTTCACACACTTGCATAAACCACATGCACACTACATGAGTACATCAGTTTCATCAGCTGTGGGTTGTTGCATTGTGTTGCATTGTGATGATGTTCGCCACATTAAGTAGAAATAATTTTAACAGGAAAACAAAAAAAGATCACTCTTGTAAATAGTCTCTTATGTCTGTTCATGTTCTGTTGTTGTGTTTGATGCTGACTGGGAGGATGCTGTGAGCCTTTTCCCCGCCAATATTATTATGACAATTCTCCCATAAAGGAAATATTGCTTATCAATCATTCCCTCTGTGTCACACTTTGAAAAACTGAAGAGATTAACATACATTATCTTATTGTGATGTTATTGTATTACTTTAAAAGAAAACATTTTTTGTTTACAGTACTGTATATTAATACCTTTTTTTTTACCATGTATTAAAACATTTAAAAACAATATCAGAAAACCTGTCCAAATTTAGATTTGCCTCGGGAAAAGGTTGTAGTGTGTGATTCATTTTAAAGTTTGTACTTCCTGGTAGATGAGGTCATGAGCAGCTGTGGTTGTAGTTTTTGTCACTGCTGATTAACTTGGCTTCACATCCACCCAGTCACATCCTCTGTTGTATCAATATAATTCTCTATAAAACCTGAAATGCTCCATTTCTCTTTATTCCAACTTGAAGTCTTGGATGAGGCAGTTTGCGTTTTTCTGAAGGATAACATAATCTGATGACTTCAGGTTTTAGAGATATTTGGAAAGAAGAACGTGTTTGGTAGTAGCCTATCACAAAACCATCTGAAGTTAATCTAAAATTCAGAGTTTTAAAGAAATGTCAACATTTCTATCATTGATTGTTTTTTTTATGTCGTAGCCTACATGCAATGCTTTAAAAGAATTCCAAGGTAAGTAAGGGTTAATGTATCATCCTTGGGAAGAAACACCGCATAAATGGTAAATTACCCTCCATGTTGGTTTGTAATGGATGACGCAGTGGTTCGTCTTGGAGGTATTATCCCGCTAATATTATCTACACTGTACCTTGGACACTTTGACAATGCATTATTTTGAATTACAATACAATTATTAGTCGGTAATTAACATAAATAACTCATTTTGAAATCGCTTTTTGTTTTACTAGGCAAGAGTTCAGCAGAAACATGTTTACAAATCTGGAGTTCAGCTTTCAATCTGACGTCAGATTTTCGCTCCAATATGACAAACATGTTTTAATCTAATTTACACTGTTCTGCATGAGAAGCTACTCTTCCTGTTATTCTGACAAATAACACTTGCTCCAACTTTTTTGACCCTAGTTTGTTGCTGTCGCCACATACTCTAGCTCAGGGGTGTCAAACTCAAATAGCCTACACAGTTGGCCAAAGTAAAAAAATCGGTAGGCCTACAAGTCGAGGGCCGGACTGTTTTTTGCAAATTGAAATGAACTTATTGCACATATTAAAACTAGAACTAACAAAACTTAAATTATTGCCTATAAAAACAACATTAAACATTAAATAATCAGTTGCATTCATTTCTTATGGCTCTATCTGCAGCTTTTCCGGAGTCATTTCTTACAGCTTAAAAAAAACAATTTCCCTCAAAGAAAAAAACAAACATGCCCTGTTGTCACAAGAAAAAAAGTGCATACGGAAACATCCATTTAAACTCAGTGTGCTGCTCTGTGATGCAAGTTTAAGCCAGTTAGGCTACTTGGCATCTCATCTTCGGTGCAAGTTCATCAATGTTTGGGCTCAGGCTCTGAGCTGAGAAATCCTCAGGATTGAGTGAAGGTGTGCGTGCAATATACCGGCGGGCCAGATCTAATAGTAATTAGAAATTATCCTGCGGGCCGAAATTAAATCCACCAAGGGCCTGATTTGGCCCCCGGACCTTGAGATTGACACATGTGCTCTAGCTAGTATACTGGTTATACAGAACTGGACCCAAACATTTCCGGATACTGAAAGGTAAACTACGCCTTCAATACATTAGAAATAAACAGTAATGGCCCAGGTGTAAATAATCAAATGAACCATGCAGTTGCTTCAGCATCAGGCTTCTTATTGTGCATGCTGGCTCACTGTCACGTTATCATGGCTTTTTGAGAAGTGAGTTTATCAAACTACTACAACAATAATAAAATGCCTGTCAGAAGTAATGAGAAAATATTTTCCCAACTAAACGTGCGGTATTTCTGTTTCAGGAAACTGTTTCACCATGCACCATTCACTATAGTAGTTTGATATTTTCAGGCTGTCAGAAGATTTGATATTGTCTTTGTTGTATTGATGCATACCCTGTTTAAAATTATGTGGTAGCAGATCTGGGTCGCAGTTTATAGATTAAGCATAGTGAGTAAAATGACTGGAGAATTTATTTTGGAGCTTATTTTAGTGAAAAGCTTTGAACAAGAACAGTAGGCTACATCAAATGCATATTTTCTCTAATTTCAGGCCAAAACAGAAGAAAGAAGATGGGGCCATGACGGAAAGATTTAAGAAGGAACATATCACTTTGCAAGTATTGCTTTACATTATACAGGTAATGCATATTATTTCTGATGTGGATGGGAATGAACAACCAGCTGAATAATTAAACTTTTCTGTTGTCTTAAAAATGGTTTTACCCAACTTTAAGCATCGGTTTCCAACCTGGGGGTCTCGACTCCCTTAGGATACCAAAGCTTCAATGGGGTTGGCAAGGCCTTCTTGGTTTTAAGGGCTGTAGGAAAACAGTCAAACATTCAAATAAATTGTCAGAAAAGCCTAATTGTTACAAACGAAAACACATTTTATAATAACTTATATAGAGAATAAGACTAACATTTATTTAACAAATAACAGTAAATCTGATCTCTGATGCAATATCCACAGGAAATAATCTGCTCAGAAGTTATCCAAATCACTAATGTTATACAAACTATGATGTTGTTGTGATGCATTAAATATAATTTGAATGATCCATATGTCACTTACTCAGGGGTTCAGTTTTTAATGATTGAGAAGGCCCCCTTAAGGCAGATGTCCCAAAGCCACTGGATGAGCTGTACATAAAGTAATTTTCCCAATCTAAATAGCATGTCAGACTGTCTCCGTTTTTTCCCACATCTTCAAGACCAGAATCATGCCCCTAAATTGGCTCAGATTGTACCACACACGCTAACCTGTCAGAACCGGTTTGTTTTCTCATGCTGCCAAGAATCACTTGATGGTGTTTTTCCTGTGTTATATATACATGGAGGATTGCAGTGCTCTACATTGATTATGCATGTGGCTGCACTTTAGATTTGAACTTTCCAGTACAATTTGGCCTGGTGGAAAAACAACCACACATCAGTTCTGCCCCTGGTGATGATCCATGACCGGCCGTGATCACGTGCTGTCGGTGAGTCTGCTTCCTGCATCCAATAAACCACCTGCCTTTCAGGGCAAACACAATTATTTACAACATTATTCATCTCTGTAACTTGCTAAGCTGAGCATGATTTAAAAGAGATGTGGCTGTGGTTTGATTTAATCTTTTTTGACATTTGTATTTTTAATGAAGTGGATGACACACAGGGCGAAATGCCCGGGCTGCACAGGGTGCCAGTATCTTGCTCATTCAAAAATATAACATTTGTTGACAATTAATAACAATTTGATACATAATATCTTTATGTCTTCATGAATTATTAAGCACGTACTTTTCTGATAAGTCTTTCCAAACCATATTCACAATGTCAAGGCTGCAACTGTATTCTTGTCAATCTGCTATGTATTTTGTATTTATCTGTCTTCCAATTTTAGGACTATTGGGCAATCAATCAATTATTTTAACCCGAAAAAAACATCTCCTTTGATTATTGTTTACTTTCAACTGTATATTTTAAACATAAACACAATTTAAAATAATATGAGCTAACCTATCCTGAACAATTACACACACACACACACACACACACACACACACACACACACACACACACACACACACACACACACACACACACACACACAACATCCGTACAACAGGCCAACACCTCTTCAGTTAAATATGCAGGTGCTATATGGAACACGATTGCCAGCAGTAAGAGTTTCCAAGCAACCGAGCTGATGCAGGAAGATAAAGAAGTAATGTGATCACGGCAGGACTGTTTGCATGTATTCTCCTCGCCCCCCAACCCCCAACTCTCCCCTCTCTCCCCCATCATCTTCTGCCTGCACACACTGACTGATCCCGTGAGAAATGCAGATGAGTTTTTGTTCTGCTCTTGACATGTGACATTTAAAAGGAGTTATGAGATGATCTGCCAGCTAAGGTTGAATGATAATTTTGCTGTCACTGAGATCATATTAGGCTTTTGCACCTGGGTCTCTCTCCCTGTCTGTTCTGGATGGAGTATTAATAAATACAAAGTAAAAGTGCTAATTTTAAAGAAAAAGCACACATGAGGTCTTAAACAGACTCAAAAAACAACAGCTCTAAGTTAAAAAAAATAAATAAAAAATCATATTTGGATCCATTAAACTATGTTAAACCATAATCCATGTTAAACAAATATGTCCCTGCTTTGTAAGCGATTGCCCATTTGGGGCTCTTAACATCATGTTGTGCCTGGAGACCTTCGGTCGTCAGGTGCATGGCTAATAATTGATAGATGTGTAGAGGCAGCGTGTGGTGGGTTCACAGCTGGCTGGCTGCACTCCACAGCCCACTGCTTAGTCACCAAAGCCTCCAAGCATGGTTAAATAACGATAAGAGTTAAAAACTGGACATCAGAGGCCAGTATTGACAGGCACCATGAGCGGTCTTCTGCTCGCCCTTTTGACATTTCTGGCCTTCACCTCTGCTGCCGCAAAGCCCAACGCTGGGTTAAAAACGTGGGGACGTTTCAGAAAGCTGCCTTATCCTGGAGATAAGGCGTTCCTCTATGATACCTTCCCCGATGACTTCATATGGGCCGTGGGCACCGCTGCGTACCAGGTGGAGGGCGCGTTTGAGAAGGACGGCAAGGGGCTCTCTATTTGGGACACTTTTACGCGCGGTGGGAACCGGATGGCCACCGGGGACGTTGGCAGCGACAGCTATCACAACAGCCAAGCCGACATCAGAGCCATCGGGCAGCTCGGGGTCAGCCACTACAGGTTCTCCCTGTCCTGGTCCAGGATATTTCCCAACGGCACCCGCGGGAGCCACAACGAGATGGGCACCAACTACTACCGGGACCTCATCAAGAAGCTGAAGGATATCCGCGTGCAGCCGGTGGTCACGCTCTACCACTGGGACCTGCCCGACCACCTGCAGCAGACCCTCGGCGGCTGGAGCAATCCGGAGATGGTTGGGATTTTTAAAGACTACGCAGATTTCTGTTTCCAGACTTTCGGGGATGATGTGAAGTACTGGATCACCATTGACAACCCGTTTGTGGTGGCGCTGCACGGGTATGGCACCGGAGTGGTCGCTCCCGGGATAAAAAACGACCCTGATCTCCCGTTCCGGGTCGGACATATTCTCCTTAAAGTGGGTTTTCCTTTTTAATTTTTGTTTATGTTTGTGGCAAAGTTAGTAAAAAGTATAATAATCTTTTCTGAAATGTTGCAAAAAAAAGCATGAAATGGAAATACTATATATACAAATTAAGACATTTCCATTGTGGACAGTAGCCTTAGTGTACTTTCCACCACTGCTTTTATCTAATTTATTGTGTTTTTTTTAATGTTTTTTACATTTCCTAGTCTTAAAATCTCCATCAATCTTTTACTTTTTTATTCCAATTCCTCTTTTATTTTGAGGTGCAGTCAATGTTTCATCTGCCTTATTAGTTTTCAGTCACCTGTAAAGGACTTTAAACTGCACTGACCAGAACTGAGTAAAATAAATATTGAGTGATACATTGTCTTCATTTTTGTCTTTCCCACCCCTCACCATCTCTTCCCATCATCATTTTATATCTCCCTCTTCTCCTCCTCTGTCTGCCCATCACTTCTCTCTCTCTCTTCCTGTTTCTCCTGAAGGCTCATGCCGCTGTGTGGCACCTCTACGACCGGCTCTACCGCCCCCGTCAGCAGGGCCAACTCTCCATGGCTCTGGCCTCTCACTGGATCAAGCCCAGCCGCACTCGCCTGGAGAGCCTCAGAGAGTGTCAGTGCTCCCTGGATCACGTCCTGGGCTGGTTCGCCCGGCCCCTGTTCACAGACGGAGACTACCCCCCCTGCATGAAGGAGAGGCTGGGTTCCCGGCTGCCCTCCTTCACCCCCGAGGAGAGGGCGCAGGTGAACGGGACAGCGGACTTCTTCGCCCTCTCTCACGGAGCGGCCCTCAGCTTCCAGCTCGTCAACGACAGCCTGAAGTTTGGGCAGCAGGAGGAACTGGACCTGAGGATGCTGCTCTACTGGATCAACGCGGAGTACGACAAGCCGCCCGTCTTCGTGGTGCAGAGCGGTTGGTAGGTGTGGGTGTTGGGTTATTTACTCCATGATGTTCTTGTCTCTCCTGGTGTGCTGGAACATCTTGTTTTAACTTCTCAACACAGGTCCGTTCTTGGCAATACTAAGACGGAAGACCCAAAACACATGTACTACCTCAAGAGGTTCATCGCAGAGGCACTCAAATGTGAGTTCTGATAGATGCATTGTTTAAATAACTGGCAACTATTTTGATGATCAATTAGCTGTTGCAAAAATGCAGTTTTCAGCCTCAGTAAGTATGATGATTCCAAGCTTTTCTCTTTTTTATATCATATTAAACTATTTTCAAAGATATTAACTTGGGCTTTGAGAAACTTCGATGACATTTTTTTTTACTATTTTCTGAAATGTTATAGAACAAGCGATCAATCAATAATGAAAATAACCGTTACCCTAGTAATGCACAGTCTGATATCATCCATTTAACACAACAGTTGTTTCCCATTTCCTATGATCAACATGAACCCTTTTACATGAAACTTAAGTAAGGAAAAAACATCTCACTTGAATCTTTGCTCACCATCTGTCTGTGTTTGCCAAACAGCGATCATCATAGACGGAGTGAATGTGATTGGATACACAGCCTGGTCTCTGATAGACGGCTTTGAGTGGCACAGGGAATATGGCATACGACGGGGACTTTACTATGTTGACTTCAACACTCTTGACATGAAAAGGGAGCCAAAGACATCTGCCACCTTTTACAGGTACATGTTATCATGTCGGGATTTCTTTTACAAAAGTATGAATCAGATACCTTTTGATTTTCACAAATAAAAATAATGTATACTAATATTTCTATTAAGGCTTTTTTCAATTTTTTTCATTCTGTTGAATATTCATTATTCGTAAAGAAACATCATCCAGAGGAACGGTTTCCCAGAGCTCCCAGAGAACAGACCAGCACAGGGAATATTTCCATGTGATTTTGCCTGGGGGGTGTCTGCCAACTCCATACAGGTACAGTATTTGTGTGTGTGTGTGTGTGTGTGTGTGTGTGTGTGTGTGTGTGTGTGTGTGTGTGTGTGTGTGTGTGTGTGTGTGTGTGTGTGTGTGTGTGTGTGTGTGTGTGCGTGCTTGCGTGCGCCATGTATAAGTGTGTTTTGGAGAAAAAAAAGGGGAGTTGCCAAAGGGCAGAGGTCTGATAATGAAACAAGAATACTTGAGGAAACATTAACAATGTATTAACTCTTGGTTAAGAGAGTGAGTATAGACTTCACTAATATTTACTGAAGTGTGAAGTTATGTCAACTCTGCAAAAAGAAAATCCTGTAAATAATACTGTTGTTATTATTGCTATTTTAAACTCTGACTTAGTGTTGTGAGAAATGAAGTTGGCTTGTGTGATTCCTCTCCTTTTTTAAGTTTCATCATGTTCAGCACATCATTTCTTTTGAACTTGCCATTTCCATGGTGAAAGTCCAGCTCAGAATGAGCCGTGACGATGAATCCTCTCTTAATCATAAACCACATATCCTCACACCATGCAGATGAGCTATAACAGGAGCAACAGTTAGTATTGATTTGGACCTATCTCACTTTTCTTTGAACATGTGTGTTTAAGGTAAACGAGGGTAACAGGGTGAGCGAGTGCATGTTTACATTGGTGTGTTTCTTCTGTTGTAACATACACTGTTTATATATATTTTCTCATGTCATGTCAGGTGGAGACCACGCCCAGCCAGTTCTCAGACCCCAGTGTTTACTTGTGGAACATCTCCAACAATGGAGAGCTAATAAGGCTGGAGGGCATCACAGCCCCCCCTTTGCGCCGAACCACACACTGTGCAGATTACGCCACCATCCGTCAACAGGTAGGCCCCCCTACCAGGGTTTATCTTTTTTATAGCTTAATGCATTCAAAATGGAGGAGGAGAATGAGTTTGCACTGAAATGTTTTCAATCATACCATTCCAAAGCTATGACGTTTGTTAGTGCCATTGTAGGTATACAAGTGTTGTTGTTTTTGTGAAGGAAGCAAATCTCTTTCCAAGCTTGGACTAATGTCATCACACATGCTGCCAATGAGGAGTTGTAACATGCCATACCCTCTCATCTGTTTGTTGCGTCATAGTTCCTGGTGCAAAAAAGCCGAATCAGAAAGATGGTCATCCACTATAGGCATAGAAAACAGAAAGCACCTGCATCTTGGTGTGATGAGGGTGATCCAATCTGGAAAAAATATCACGTAAAATGTTACTTTAATCTCAGAAAATGTTCAGTCTGAGAGAATATAAGGTTTTTCCCTTAGTAAATGTACTTTAAACTTATTGGGTTGTATATGTATTGTTTCTTCAGGGTGAGTAAAATAATTTACATGTGTATCCTCCCCCCTCTCTGTCCCACAGGTTGATGAAATCCGGCAGGTGGGGGTGAACCACTTCCACTTCTCCCTCAACTGGTCAGCCGTGGTGCCTTCAGGTGACGTGGCTCATCCCAACAGCACCCTGCTGGGCTACTACCGCTGCTTCACTCGCCAGCTGCTGCAGGCCAACGTCACGCCCGTGGTCACTCTGTGGCACCACACCCGGCAGCGCAGCAGCCTGCCCCCCCCGCTGGACACCGCCAACAAGTGGCTCAACAGGTGGGGTAAAAGCCCTTTAAATCCAGTTTCTCATTTGAAAAAACATGATTATAGAGCATACTTCATGACTCTTAAAGCTTACAAGTCTGTACCAAACATCAAACTAATAAATACCCAGGTATGGTGTTAAGCAATTTCCGATGATTTCTGGTCTGATGTTAAAGTCAATATGCGTCATTGACGTTCCCTGGAACAGTCTGTCCTCGTCCACAGGAAGCTGCTCTCACTTGCTGCCATGCAATCATATTTACTTTTCCTGTAATAAAGCGATATCACTAAACCCACTGATCATCACAATATTTGAACTGTTGATCATGGAAAAATCCAATGTATTGGCATTTTCTTTTTCAAATTTAAAAACATCTCCTTAGATCTATCTCAGACATTAAAAGTAATGTAGTTCTTATGAATACTTGTATAAACACAATCTTAGTTCATTTATCAAATTTCCTCTTCGGACTTCTTCTCTCAGGGAGACTCCAGAGGCGTTTGCAGACTATGCCAGACTCTGTTACAGAGAACTAGGGGCCCATGTGAAGATGTGGATCACCCTGAATGAGCCCAACGATGAGATGGTGGGCTACCAGGAGGGACATCAGATGCTGCGGGCGCACGCTCTGGCCTGGCACGCATACGACCGCGAGTTCAGACACTCCCAGGGAGGAAAGGTCAGTAGGGGCATTTATTTATTTGAATACATTTATACTACCTGTATGTTGTTTTGCTTTGATGTAAGTATTCAAACAGCCAGCAGGGTGATATCTTTTCTAAAGGAATTTCTTTTAGAATTTGTGTGTGTGACTTTTTTGTCTATATGTTTACAAGTTTACCTCTTGGTGTTTTTACTATTTCTATAGCATAAATGACTCTTTCTAAAACAAGTTATGTGAAATACAACACCCCCTTGTGCACCACAGGACTCCACAAAGTATTTTAATCAGTAGTATACTAAATGTGAAACGTTTCTTAAATTACACATTGGCTGAATCACGTCAGTCTCTAGAATAATGAAAATGACACAGACCTGCACGTCCATGTTTTGTGTTTCAGGTGTCTCTAAATCTGCACATGGACTGGGTGGAGCCGGCGTTTTCCTTCAGCCGTGAAGACGTGGAGCCAGCTAAAAGGGTTTTAGATTTCCGCGTCGGCTGGTTTGCAGAGCCGATCTTTGGCAGTGGAGACTATCCTGTGGGAATGAGGAGCTGGCTGCGTCAGCTCAACTCTCTTGAGTATAAATACTTCATTTTTATTATGTGTCAAATAACTATTCATACTCCATACAGTCGCTTTGTTGGCTATAGAATAAACAATTCAGTTTAGAGTCACAATGAAGACTTTTCAACAGATCATCTAGCTTCTGTCATTTCATGTATATCTGTTTTTTTTAGGAATCAAGGGTTGGAATATTGCTGTGATTATTCAAAGGTGTGATATGGTGGAATATCAGTATTATTGATCATGATGTTTTAGAAGCAATATAAAATAAATTACGATGACAAGTATAAACATATGATAGGTCATTTGGAAAAGTTAAACCACTATCTTGTACAAGTTGTATCATCTCCTGTTTACATGTTGTTTTCCTACAGACTGCCAGTGTTCAATGAGGAGGACAGACAGCTGGTCAAAGGGACATATGACTTCTTTGCCATCAGTCACTTCAGTACCGAGTTGGTGACGCATGCCAAGGAAGACTCGTAAGATAAAATATTTGTTTTTTCCTTTTTAATGACGGTGGGAAAAGAGAAATTTGCTTGTTAACCACTATGCCACTGGACACATGTTTTTCCCTGATGTAGAGACACGTCCAGCATCTTAAAGGCATACATACATGAACATGAAATGAGAATGCTTTTTACGACACATAGTTTCTGTATCATCTCCATGTCTGCAGCTACACCTACAGAGCCATGCTGGAGGTCCAGCACATGATCGACACCACATGGATCATGTCCCCGAGGCCTGTGGTGCCCTGGGGCCTGAGGAAAGCCCTCAACTGGGTGAGAATAGTTTCGCACAGACATCTGAAGTATACTTGTGATCTGTCCTTTTCTTCTATACAAAAACCCGTAATAGCAGGTGTATTGACAGGGTTTGATTTGAGACAACCAAGAAAAATGAAGATGTTCCTGCTACTACAACACCATCACTACCCACATACTTCACTGTTTACCCCTCCACTCAAACAATGTGTTTTGCTTATATTTAAAATTCTCTATGCAAACCAATAATTGACGTCACAATGATGTATGAGATATCTCGTGTCCAGCAGTTAAACTTAAAAAAAAATGAACAGCCGTTGCGTATTAATTGAAAGCTGAACAATTAATCAGAGTTTAATCAAAAACTCAACATTTTGTGTCAAGATTTTGTTGAAATATTTATAAGAGCTATGGCAGTCGGCACATTATTTGTAGAAGGCAACATACTGTATGTGTCAAATTACTATTCTGTTATCAGTCAAGTATTATGGTTCAATGTACATTTCCCCTTTGTTTGACGAATAAAGGAATTCAGATTTTGATGCTCACACCATGATCATTGAATATTTTGTATTTGTTTTTATTTCTTCTTGCCTTCTGCCATGTAAGGTGAGGGAGCACTACTGTGATGTCCCTGTCTATGTGATGGCTAACGGGGTCCAGGAGGACCCGGCCCGCTTCAAAGACAGTCTGAGAGTCTACTACCTGTACAACTACATCAACGAGGCCCTGAAAGGTGAGACCACAAACACACACATCTGCTGTGGAGCTTTCTTTATATTAATGCATTGCTCTCAAGAGCAGCATGTTGTTATCACTGCATTAGTACACTGCGTGATCAATCCTTTGGCGGGGATTGAAGTTTTCCCCCTTGGCCTCTGTATGGCTTAATTATTAGACAAGTATTTGGGTCACTGCCCTCTGAAAAGTCAGCTGACTCAGAACACACACATACAAATATCAACAGAGACACACTCTGCACTCTAATTGTGGAGTCAAGGTTACTCGCTTTTCAATTACCTGTCCTTATCGGGGGTAAACTCAGCGAAGACCTTGGTTGGCACTTCAAAACAGTGCACTGCAGTGTCATGCTATGATGTGCACAAAGTGTCATGTCATTGTTTGTTGCAGTGTGCTCTGTCACCACTAGGTGTCATCACCCAAATATAAACAGTTTGTAATGTATATATTTATTTAGACTGTAAGGTAACTTATAAGGAATTAATTCATTTTGAAAAGCTTTATGAAACCTCTGGTTTGATATTTGAAAGACTTCTTATAGTTGTGACCTAGAAAATCAAACAATTGACTTTGTGAATTCTTATTAGGAAAAAACCTCTATTAGCAATGTTTGTAATTCACGCTAAATGCTCAAAGAACATGATGATTGTGGTACAAATTGGGTAAAAAATTAACATACAAGTAAAAATGTAGATGATGAGCTCATCATATTTCTAAAGTACTTGTAATCACTTGTAGTTTATTTTCTCAGCTACAAAAAGTATTGCTTTTGAATGGATGTTTGGGAAAGGCTATATGTGCTATATATTTTTGAGTAAAATAAGCATCATAATAAATCACGTAGACACTCATATGTAGCTCTAAGCAGATATGAGATATTTATTGATGTAGCTGTTTAATAGCTGTTCAAGTTATTGAATGACAATACAACACATTCGTAATGACACTTTTTTTTCAAAGGAGTTTGAAGGAAAAGTAACTGTACAGTTATAAACACGTGTACCTGGTTCTGCTATTTAATATACCATACAATGTTCTACGTTGATATGCTTATACATGATACATAGGGGAGGTTTAAAGGGTAAAGAGTAACCCAGCCCACATGTACTTACGAGCCCCTGAAGGTAAATGTTGCCCCTCTCACATGATGCCGCCCCCCCCCTCTTCTTGCTGTCGCGCTTCAGAAGTTAATAACTAAATAAAACTGAAAGTACAACTTACTTCAGACTTTTTCACCAGTTAGTGAGGGTGTACAAACACAACGTTGAACGATAATGTACAAAATCCAATCGGTTGACTCCTTGAAAATGCGATTATATCCGACGTGTATAATCGTAGGGCCTACCACATATAAGATAGAAAAGAGGAGGAGGCAACCAAACACAACTCTCTCTATATTTGGTGGGTAGGACCAGATTATTACACGCCGGAATAAATCGACATTTCAAGAGTCAAACATTGGATGTTGTACAGTATCGTCAACGTTGAGTGAATTGTAACCTCCACTAACCTGGTGAAAAGTCTGAAGTAAGTTGTCTTTCAGTTTTATTTTAGGTTATAAACTCCTTGAATTCATTTTCATTAAACTCTAACTTAGGTGTGACGTCTTGGTTTGTTCGATTAAAGAAGAAGTATGTTTATTTTGGCAGTGAGAGTATCTTGGTGAGGAACAAGGAAGGAACCCGAAGCACAACATTATTAACGCGGTCCCAACTAGTCGTGGGACTTTGGTGCGTAGTCCTTCGGGTGGTGCCCCCGTCCCGGAACAACTGCCGGCACCGCGGCTTCGTCCGTCCCGACCCCTGTAACGACGACAGCGCGCGGGACTCTACCCCTCGGCAGACAGACGCTACTACACGCCATCAACCTTCTCTCCCTCCCGGAACTACTACTGAGAGAAGGACTTGCAACCGGCAGTACGGCTTCGGCCCAGAGAAGCAGCGACGTCGCCATGCGTTTCAATGGGAAGTCCAAAATGAAGCAGGCACACATGCGACTTCTTCTTCTGCTTTGGCAGGCTGCAAACAACTTCACGGCGTATACTTCTACTGAAGCCTCTCCCCAACTCCGGGGACTTCGGGTGGCAGTATACGCCGTGAAGTTGTTTGCGGCCTGCCAGTAAACCCAAAGCAGAAGCAGAAGAAGAAGAAGTGACGTCAGCGGCTTCATTTGCCTAATCTTCCCTCAGGGACTTATTCCGGTGTGAACGCGATCTGCTCTTTAGTTCAATGGGGGAACTAAGTGCTGGGAACTTAGTGAGGCAAAGGACTTGGTGTGAAAGCGGCTATAGACTGTCTCAGTGGATATAACCAGGGAATTTTCTTTAAAAAATATAGTATGCGTATTACAAAAGGTTTAATTTAACAAACACTTTTCTAAAACCCTCAGTGTTTTAAAGTGAACTAGAGTTTTCCAACAGCCTGGAAGATCACAAATATATTTAGTGTGCATCGTACGCTTGTTTCTTTGCAGGCGGTTGAGCTGATTTGGGTGGACGTCCTCTCCTCTTCTGCGGTGTGGACTCTGCTGACTCCGTGCTTCTGATTAAAGTTTGAGACAGAAGTTAATCTCGCTGACAGAAATCTCAGAGCCAAAAAGTGATGATCAAACTTCTCTGTGTGCATTAACCACAAAGCCTTTCTTACCCTTGTGATCGCCGTGGCGTCCTTGCAGGCCTTCCTCCCTTGGTCTTCAACTCCAGATTTTCACTGCTCTTGTCAGCGTCTTCGTCGTCTTCTTCTTCTGCTGCTGCTGCTGCTGCTTCCTCCTCCTCAATCTTCTCTTCTTCCTCCTCCTCTTCCTCCTCTTCCGGGGGAGGAGCTGCCTTCTTCCGGCCTCTCTTGCCCTTGGCAGGAGTGTCCTGACTGGGGGTGGCAGACTTCGGGGGTCGCCCCCTGCGTCCTTTCTTCGGCGGGCTGTTCTGCTCGTCCTCCGGCCGATTGTCCTCATCCCATTGGTCCTCGGACTCGGCCACTGCGGTTGTGTTTACCGCCGCCTTCTTGCGTCCGCGCTTTGGTTTGTTGTCCTGGTCTTCACTGGAGGCCACGGCACGCTTGCGACCGCGGGGCTTTTCAATATCCTGTAAAAGATGAAATCGTTTACAAGGGCCATAGGGCTTCCACGAATCAGGACCCTTCCATTAACTTAAAATGCTTTTCGTTCCTGATTTGCGAGGACATTTTACTACGTTAATATTTTTAGAATGTCTGGTTTCCCCAATTTTTTGTATTCTGTGAAGACAAACTGTTCAATACCCACGATCAGTGCTATTTTCTTCATGGAAACTCTGACTTAACATAGTAATCAACCACCTTTTTTCCACATGACTAAAAGGAGATGACATCATCAAACATTAACTACAATAATAGATTAAAAAGGTAGTTTAGAAAGAGTAGCCTTAACAGAACTTTTATTATTTACATTTTCCAAAAAGAGGAATCTGTATTCTGCCTAGTCTTTAATGACAGCTTAATCATCGGATGATATTGAACATTTTAAAGACTATACACATTTAGTTATGGTTTAGAACTTTGTAGAAGGGAGAGAAGCTTAAGTGCTCTGATTCACAACAAAACAAAGACAACATAAGCCACAAGGTCTGGAGGCTGTTATGAGTGATGTGATATTTGGATAGGAACAGTTTACACAACACGTTTCTGCTAATCCTATCTCGACTTAAATCCAGCGGGTGTTTGCTCAGTAGAATCAAAACACAGAGTCACAAGGGTTTATGACTGGAAACACTTAACTGGATCATAGCAACACCCTAAGATACTGTGTCGTTTCAGAGCGTGTTTGTTTAGTTTATTTATACAGACAGACCATAAAGATGGAAGCATAAAATGTCTGTTTGTCATGCCTATAATACTTAATGCCATTGCATTGTAAAAAAAAGCCAGATTCTTTTTGCCTGTTTATCCTACTGGTATCAAGCATGTTCTTATAGTGCTAGTGGAGCACGCTCATGAACTGTTCGCCGGTTACTGCGAAGCGCATAAAGCAGACCCTTATAGCAGAGCGGACAGGTACAGGAGGGGTAGAGCGAGGGATCATTGTCCACTAGTTCATCGATCGCAGATGGCGTCCTGCTCGCGGACGGATACAAAAAAATGAAACCTAAACGTGTCGCAAAATATACTTTGGCGGACGTTAATAAACCTGAGTAAAGTCTGTGTGTGGGGAACCCTGAATATGTAAACAGAAGATGGTCAAAGAAACTCAGGTAATGTGGATATGTTAACCGTTAAATGTTCAAAGGATAAAACAATAATAACTTTATGAAAGACCAACAGGCTAGAAACCATAAAAGGTTGGTTTATAACAACCTGTCCCACATGGAAGAAGATATGCTTATAAAGAGGTCGAAGTACCTTATCAGTGCTGTCTGCTCTCTTTAGGCTGAAGTCCTCGTTTTCACTGTGATCCAGTTCTGTGCTGTCAAGCCTGAAACAAACATTATTCATTGTTATTGTTTTTTAAACAGAACAAAGAAATGCAGTTCAAGTCATAAAAATATCCAAGAAAAATAGACGGCTCTTTTGATGTCGCTGGGAAGTGAAGTGGAACATAGAAGCATAGAACAGCAAACATTTACACATGGGGAATAATCCAACCCAGCTGTCAGAACACCTGAAAGGCTGAACACTGGAGGGGATTCGGGGTCACTTCAATGCATAAAGACTGGATGTCGACCTGAGGGTTTAAATCTGTATAACCTGTCCTGTACCTGGTCTTGCTGCGTTGCGGGGACCCCGGGTTGGACGAGGAGTCCTCGTTGCTGGCGGTCTCCATACGAGACGCTTTGCTCTGGATCTGTTTCCCCGCCGCCGCCAGCGGCTTGTTGACGGCTCCCAACACGTTCGCCGACTTGGGCTTCAGGAGGGAGAGGGGACAAGAGTTAGATATGTGTTTCATAAAACAAAGCCAGAAATAAGACGCCAAGCCAACGTTACCATTTTAGAGGTTTGATTAACTTACTTTTCCTGGTGTGAAGAATGACTTCATCTCTGGTGGGAGATAATTTTTTGTGTTGTTGAAATTCTGAAATAGAATAAATATCTTCGGTCAGAGAGCTTGTTAGTGTAAAAAGAACAAATACATCTTTTGAATCAGCACTTTTCTAAGACTTGCAATAGCTGTGACACTCAAAATGATGT